CTCAACCTCTCACCAGCTCTCCAAGAAGCACCTTTTGTTGCAGCTGCACAGTGACCTGCTGGAGCAACTTCTCCAGCCACTCCGACTGAGTTGCAAAGACAGTGGGATGCCAGCAATCCCTAACAAACTGAAACCTCCAAACAGGAACAAAACAACGTGCTCTCAGTGCTTGAGTATTCGTCGTGGAAGATGCTGCCGGGGTCGCAAAGTTCACTTCAGTTCTATTTTCATGGTCGGATCGAGCATGCGCTTGACGGGGTCTCTGGCACACAGGCATATGTCGTCCGAGTCAGCTGCTTGCCTTTGCACTAAGCCTCTTCGGTGCAGGCTTGAGCTCGCTGCACTGAAGTTCTCCGTGCCGGAAGAGCCCTCACCGGTGGCATCTCAGATTCTCAGATAGGAGACTTCCTGCACATTCCGAACATCGATTCGCATACAGGTTGTTGAAAACTTTGCCTTTAGGCCGATTGCGGCAAAGGGCAGAAGTGACCTCGCTCTCTTTTTGTGCTCAACCCCAAGAAGCACTTTTTGTTGCACAATCATAGCCGCCCAAGGACTGGGCCGGCTTGTCCCGGTCAGTGGGGAAGGCAGTGCATCAGTGCGGCGTCGCAGCAAAGCAAATCTCCTGCATGAGCCGGCCCGAAGATCAGTAGGTCCACCAGACCGTGCCGACCATCAGACTGACGTGGCACAGCCGAAGCTGCCACACAACCGCATCCTGACCCTCCGACACCCATTTGTTGAATCCGGCTCAACTGCCAGATTCTCCGACGATGGGAGAACTCCGCCTTCCAAGAGCCGTCCTGGTTGCTTAGATTTTTAGATGGAACGACAAGTCTTGAGCCTGAACAGGAACTGCTTCAATGTATTCCTGTGCTTCGATGCCTTCAGCACAAGATGCCGTTCTCAATTCGGTTCCAGGCTTCACCTGCCGCCGAATCCCGACTGTGGATACCTCTAGCAAACTCTCCCTCTGGCATCCTGAGAACTTGCCTCAGGAACCGAGAAATCTCAACATATTTTCGGCGCCACTGTGTTGGCAGAGCTGCCGCGATGAGCACGGACGCAGCCCGTCGAGGCCTGCATGAGCCTCACCCAGCCTTAGAGAATGGAACGAAGGTTCTTTCTGTCACAAGGCCGATGTCCTCTGCAAGCAGCACTTCGGGCCTTGATAGCGGACCCTGCACCTCTGCAGCTGCGGCGTAGCATTGGCAGGCGAGTCCAATGCTGTGACGCGAAGTTGCCTGCTGGAATGTGCTGGAAAAGCGCCTCGCCGGCTTTGCACGACCCTGCGTTGAGCAAAACAGGCTGCCCAGCTCAACACAGGCCAAGACATCAGCCGCACATGAGCGGCGTCGCCATTTCAAGGACCTAAGCAGAGCAAGAAACTTGAATGGCCCCTCCAACTCGGGTGGGGCGGCTGCAAGGGTTTCGTTGGCGCATTGCAGCCAGAATGGCCGAACGCCAATCCAGTCTCCAGAGCACCTTCCTGAGAACTAGCTGCGGAGCGGGGTTGAAAACTGGATGCCTCAGAGCTGCATGCTCGCATCGAATCCTGTCTCCCCTGTTCGGCTCATCTGCTCAACATGCGCAATCGGGCTCAATCAACACCCCAGATCTGGCAGGGACGGAACATGTCAAATTGACATTGTGCCAATCCAACATTGCATTTGCACAAGCAACGCACGTGACCTCCTGGATCCATACCCGCAGCATTGCCAGTTTGTTGCAAATAGCCGAAGGCTAATCTGGTCGAGACTTGTTTCAACCAGACAAGAAACCACTTTGCTTCATGTAGCACCGTTCTGTGATGTGCAGGATCTTCCTTTGACAGTGCTTTCGACAGTTGAAATCAAGACATATGCATAAGGACCTGGGGGTGCATCGACGAGTTTCCCGCATGTCACACATGTCTCTTAACTTTTGCGCGAGATTGCATCACTCAGGCGCCTTGGTGAGCGAATGGTGGGAGACTGCTTCCAACTACCCACATCGACGCTAGCAAACACAGCGTCTCCGCCCGTGTCCGATCGAATTGAAGTAGTCTGGGGCTTGCCAGCTGCTCCTGGAGCAAGTGGTGCTTCGGCTAGGCGTGTAGGGTGCCTTGACAGCCAAGACAAGCGGCGGATGGAGAAAGCAACAGTGCTTGAATATGGAACTACGAAGGTCTTCAATTTCGGCTTGCACTAAACCAAGCCGTGGAGGGATGGCAAAGTCAAGTACTGGCCCAAATCCATGCAAGTGATGACCATAGTTTTGCTGGCTCCCAGAACACTGTGAGTTGCAAATCACGGATCCATGCCGTTGCTGTCCGGTCTCCATTTCGCGAGATGCACGGGATACTTCTGGCACTGCCACAGGCAGCCCACGCTCACGATGGGCAAAGCAAGCTGCATATCCGCATCTTCACATCAACTCACCCGGAGCACTCGAAGCTGGACCTTGGTCGACTGGCATCCAGCTCTCCCGCCGGATGGGGTGTTTGCATCGTGGCTTAATGGGCAGGAGCGCGACAAGATGCTCCGTGCATTATGCGGGTTGCATTTTGACAGGCCTTGCAGCTGCTATTGGCACGGCTCCTTCAGTGTGGTGCCAAAGAAGACTGGCGATTTGCACAAGCAAGCTCTTGTCCTCGATCACTCGACATTCCAGGTGACCTTTGTCAAGGTGTTGGATGCTGGATCCTAGCAGTGCTAGCAGCATGTTCGCACATCGGTCGAATTACTGCGTCTTCTCTCCTGCGGAAGGTGCTTTGCATGCCAATCGCACACGATGC